TATTTTTGAGATAATAATGACTTAATAATAAAAGTTTTACTAATTAACCCATAGCTAGGGGGGACGAGGTGGTTAGATACTTTTTTCAAGGGTATTTGCACGAAAATGAATATAACGAATCCAACTGGATTTGGAACTTGGCTCTCCGACTAATAATTCTGAGCCATTATCTGTTACACCATCGGCACGCCCAAACTTATAGCGCCTGTGATCACCCATACAGGTACTGATCAGGCTCATCGTTGCTTAATTCGAAGATCATAAGGGAACCAGTGTTTCCACGTCATATTTTAGGTATGGCAACTTCAGATGATCCCAGCTCTTCAGAAAAAAAGATTTTGAATCGATGCGTAGAATGTAGCTTAAACAAAGAAAAGAGTATTGAACTGTTACGTGATATCTGTCCTCCTATATTGCAGCAAATGCTGGACAATCTCCTCTAAAATGAAGAAGAGACTTGAAGCAACAGAAATGTAGTTCTACAAAAAGATGCTGAGGATACCATGGACCGAACATGACCGAGCAACAATGAGGTTTTGGAGACGATGGAAACATAAAAGAAACTTATACTTAACATCAGGACGAGACAGTTGAAATTTCTGGGGCACGTAATGAGGAAAGAGGACTTGGAAAACCTGATACTCATAGACTGAGGGAAAGAGTGACAGAGAAAAGAAGCGAGTAACATACTTGATCGACTTGAGTAAATGGATGGAAGAACAGATTTTGGGGGAAATAACAAAATGATTAAACTTATTAAGAGCTGCAAGGAGCAGGAAGATGTGGAGTGCCATGATTGCCTACGTCCTGAATGGAAACGGGACATAAAAAAAACTGATAATCTTTTGTTTCTACAGATCTTTAATTCAAATTTTATTCCATGTACACATTTAAAGACGTCCAATATATAAAGGGTTATTAATATTATTTTTTTTTAGGTAGCATTGAAACTATTTTCGTTTTTTATAGACCTTTACTCTAAAGCTTCTTTCATGTAAATATCTAAAGATTATCTATACCACTATATTATTAATATTATTATTATTATTATTATTAAGGTATCAAACTCGGAACCTGATGTTCATCCATTTATGGGCTTCTTTTTGAGGCTCTAGTCAACACCCTTAAAACGATTAATATCGTAAGATGTTTTGATTTTCACTTCCTGAATTCTGTGTTTTTGAGGCTAAGTTTTAAAAAGTCTAAAACTGATCAGAATCTTAATTATTTACCCGCTGCAAGACGTGGCACAAGGCCGAGTTTTAAAGTGGGGGATCCGAGCCTGTGGGCTTGGGCAAAAATTCCCTACAGACCACGTAAAAACGGAGTCAGTTTTTCCAGACGAGACTCTGCCCTTAAGCAAAATAGTAGAGTTTGTGATGTCATATATGACAACAACAATAATAATATTACTATTAATTATGACAAATAGAAATTATGAAGCCAACAAGCAAAAAAATTGTGTTAACCGGAAATGCAGTCTCTGTGATGAATATCCAGAAACAATTGATCTTTTTTCTTTTTTCTTTTTAGCCCTCCCCTGAGAGGATGTGATGTTATGGTGCATGGAGGATTGATTGAGGATTTATTATTATTATTATTATTATTATTATTATTATTATTATTATTATTATTACTGAACTAGAATCCACCGACCTTTAAAACGCATGAGGATAGTTACGCGTGCAAATGACTTCCCGCCTCGTGTAGTAAATAGAAAACAGGAGTTTACGATAAGATTTATACTAAGCTGTTTGCTTTATTGCTATTAAGAACCTAATCAACTAATGGAAAATTCCAAGTTGAGCAAATTCACCGTCATGTTAAGCGCGTTTCAGGTGAATGTCATTCACTCTAGTTACGTTTCATTCGTTTTGACGTGTTGATTACAACCATTACAAGCGACGTTTGTACAAAGTCTTATAAATTTGTTGAAGATTTTTTTTTAATATTTTTATACTCATATACAATTTTTAAGTATGACTTGAAGAAGACAGGCATACAGTCGAAACATTGTTGAACATTGTCAAATTTTCTTTTCCTTTTCTTAAATTGCACACTTTTCTAAATATGTTATATTATTATTATTATTAATTTGATTTCTGTTGTATACGCATTTCTTTCCGGGTCCCAACCAGAGACCTAAGGTCAGAAATGGCATCATGGCATTTCCCACTGAACAGTTTGGTTAAAAAATAAAAATAAAACAACCTAAAACTGTACACAATTTACATAGATAAAGCTCTTCGTAAGGTGTGAGCTGTATCTGTGAGTACATTCTATTTTATTTCTTTAAGGTATGGTCTACCAGGAATACCCTCAATCAGCCTATCGGAGCTATTTCGAATCAAATCAATGGCTCCTTCGAAAATTGGAATTATTGATGTTACGTCTTTTAGATTTCTACTTCATTATCCTTGTATTTTTATATTTTTTGAAGATTCACGAATATACATTACAGTCTGCAGAAATTATAACAAAGTCCGTTCTGTTCTTGTGGCCTTTGATTTTAGTGTCTCTTCTTCATTTTGTGGAGATTGTCCTGTATTCCCTGCGATACAGGAAGAAAGATATCACGTACTCACGTCAGCAAAATTTTCCTGTCTCTTAATACTCTGCTTCGTTTCTGGAATGCATCTTTGCCCATCCCAATACGTCTTCGGATCTCACTGTCTCACTTTCCGTTCTCTGTTAGAAGATTTCCAAGACGCGACCTAATATATAATATCGCAGATGTAAATCCTCACTTCAGCGGCATCAAGCCAAAACTACAGCAAAGAATCCAACCATCAGAACTGAAATGCTGCAGAACTGCCCTTAGCCTCTCAGATTTAGATCGCATCCGGGCCAATGGAAGACACCCAAACCATTCTCAAGAAGAGTTGGCAATATTTCCATAACCATCGTAAAAGATATCACCCTAGGTAAAAAAAGAGACGGATGAAAAATGGGATGACAACATAAATTGAGTGCAGTGGGTGATCTTTTGCAGAAACTATGAAATTGGCACGCAACTGAGAAACATAGAGGGAGTTAGTCAGTTGCTCAGATGTGCAACGACCACATTTGGTCACTGGACGGATGATGAATATATAATAATAATAATAGCATAGATAGGCTTTAGATGCGTACGTTCTTATAAGTTTTAATGCTTCCCAAACGAAACTATTCTTTATTAATTATCTTAAAAGACCTTTTTTGCTTTTCATTAATATGGCTGATGTTAACCTACAGGGGAGAACATACTTCTTGGTCTTACTTTTTCTACAGACATAAAGTGGGATAAATATGATGTTGTTTATCTTGAGTCAATTGCTAAGTCAGAATCTATCTTGCACATTTACAAATCTACCATTCGTCCGTGCAGCGAATTGTGCAGCCACATCTGGTCTGGTGTTTCATACGTGCATCATGGGTGATGAGGATAAACTACATCCGGCAGCAATTGTTGTTGTTCCCAGGACCACCCTGACTCGGGGTGGTAGCACCTGTTAGGGTCCTAGTTATGGGTAAATAATTAACCCCGAGACTGTGGTCTAAACACTGTCAGTATAAAAATGGATATTAGCAATACATTTTTATAGTAAAAAATACATTAACATCAATACATTTAAAAAAAATTACAAGCAATGCAGTTGACTGTCGACAAAAAATCTCTTTACAAAAATAAGTCAATGAAAACTGATCTACAAACTTATTTCTTACAAAGAATCCATATTCTATTCATACGAGCCTATTCTACAAATTTTGTCGCCATTAACTAACCTATTGAGATTAAATATGGTGTAAAAAATAAACCAAATCTTTCATATCTGTTATGGCCGAGGCCCTCATATGCCTGATTGATTAAGTCAGATTTCTCTCCATTCCCCTCCTCTTATACCACTCCTTAATACTGTCTGCATCTTTCCTTCTCATTGTCCACAGTTGAATTGTCCTGGGTATGACGATAAACTATATCCAGCAGCAAGGCCTCTAATAAGGAGACTGGAGGTTTTGAGGAGCGTGGAAACACCTCTTAACTGCTGCTGTTCCCAGGTCCACCCACACCCGGGGTGGTAGAACCTGTTAGGGTCTCAGCTATAGGCAAATAATGAACCCCCAAACAAAAAAATAAGCAGTACATTTTTATAATACACCTAGCAACAGAACATTTTATTTACAAGCTATATATATATATAACAAATATGGCGCCAGTTTGTTTACATTGCGCAGATCAGTACAAAAATTTCAGTGATTACGCAGTTCAGTGTTGCCAATATTGTGTGAATTGATTGGACGGTTTTTGAAATATTAGAAAAAAAGTTATCTAGATAATAATTTGGAACGCAGTGTATATGAAAAAATATACTCTTAAGGTGTGATATATTTATGGGATAAAGTGCTCAATGTCAGAGATAGAGCGTGTGTAAATATAAAAGTGAACATTGAAGTCAACACTTAGAGGCGACAGGCTGATGATTGCGTCTAGCATGAAACAGACTGTCGCCTCTAAGTGTTGACTTCAATGTTCAGTTATATATATATATATATATATATATATATATATATATATATATATGACGATGGATTGTGACCTCGAACTATTACCAACGATCTAGAACAGTCCTACATTCCTGTTTTCACACAGAAAATGGAAAAAAAGAAGAAATAAATTCTGTTATTTTTACTTTTGTCTTGTTTGATTTTCATTGGTTAAGCAGGTTTCACATGCATTCGATTTGTTAAAATGGCATTAGTATAATTTGTGGCGTTCCAAATTATAAGTTCGATTAGGTAATATCTTTATCACTGCCGGGCATTTTTGCTGCAGATCGAATCTAAAATAAAGGGACAACTCAATAATGTCGAAATTCGAAACTGGATTTCATGACCAGAATGGGAATTTTCTGACCATTCGGTGAAGCGCCAATTCTATAAATGTATGATATTTATAGTGTGATAGTGTTTCATGATAGTGTTTAAGATCCGGGGCAGCCAGGAAGCATTTTTAGAAAGACATGTGGGAAGAGAAATCCAAATATAATCTCGACTGGATTTTCACGCTTGAAGTGATCATTAGATCATGTGAATTAATTTATTTGTACATACTATTACTATCTATCTATCTATCTATCTATCTATCTATCTATCTATCTATCTATCTATCTATCTATTTCAGTCTGTTAATATCTATTTCAAATGTTCTCATATCTAGCTAGCTAGATATCTAAGTTTTTCTATCTATCTATCTATCTATCTATCTATCTATCTATCTATCTATCTATCTATCTATTTATCTCAAATGTTCATATCTATCTAGGTGTCTAGCTACCTTACTCTGTTCCTATCTATCTATCTATCTATCTATCTATCTATCTATCTATCTATCTATCTATCTATCTATCTTTTTTCAGTCTGTTAATACCTCCCTCTGTATGTTTCTCGCTCTCTCTGTATCTATCTATTTCAGTCTGTTCTCATGTACCTATTTAACTAAAATGTTGAAATTTTTTTTTCAAAACCTACTCATATGTTTCCAGCAAACAGATCTGATGTGACTTGAACTCATTACTAAAAAACAGACTAACTCTTTAATCCTTACACCACGGTAAGACAATTTCATTTTTCAGTTTTCATATTATCTGGCGCAGGCCAGATTAGGTTTATTTAATTACTTTATGACAATAATATTATTCAAAGCTCGAAATTATCCTGATGTTTAGAAAAAAATATCGGGAGGGGGATAAAGTGAAGAGATTAAATGGAATTAACTTATTTATATTTTTGCCAAGAAATATATTTGTATATTTTAGCGTTTCTTTCTTCTGCAGATGTCAGACAATCGCTGAAGCTTTGTGTAATTAACTTTTTTTTTATATTCAGTTCTCCTACAAAAGATAAATATATCAAATATTAAAAGATATATTTTCTCCATTTTTTTCTTTTTTGTAAATGAATTCATTCATCCATTATCAAAACTACAAGTTATATTCACTAACTTATTTCATTTTGTCGACGATAAATCTAAATTTCAAATCATTTATAGTTAAAAAAAAAACCAATTACGATTCTTTATCCCATTCCATTGGAATTTAATACTGGAGACTTATTTGTTGCAGACAATACTATCTTTGGTATCATATTTGCCGTCTTATGACTGATTCGCGCGTTCAAATCCTGTGCTGTGTTGTGAATAGTATTTGACCTTTTGTCTAAGCCTACGCGCATACGGAAGGGAAGATTTTGGCTTCGTTATGACGAAATATTCAATAAATCTTTAGCTGCTTGAAATCTCTCCCATAATTTCATTTTGTCAATGTCTTTTATACATATGAATTAGCAAACTCATTTTTCAGACAATAGACTATTTTCTATGGCTTTTTGTCTTGGAAATAAAGAGGTTAACTAAATTTTTTACGAAAAAAAAAAAGAAAAAAGAATAAAGAAGATAACGAACAAAACATCTTACGCTGAATATTAAATAAAAGAACGACGATGATTTGAATTTATAAAGTTTTCGTGATGTGTTTCTATAAATTCATCTTGAAAATGAAAAAAAAAAAAACCCAAAAAACATATACCCCTGACATATTGTTGCGCCTAGACGTAGAAAAATCTACAGCAGGAGAACATGTCAAAATTTGAACATCTACAATCTATCCCTAATATATCCAGATAAATTGTATCATCAAAATCTATTTAACAATATGATAAATCTGCCATGTCATATCTGGTCTGGTTCTTCTGCGCCTGCTTCTACTGTTGTGTATTTAGAGATTCTTGATGGAACCCAGAGAAGAATTTGCAATATTATCGGTCCTCGTCTGGTATCTCGGCTTCAGTTATTTTTTTTTCATTACCGTAACGTACATTCTCTGCGTCTTTTACTTTAAATAATTTCATGGTAATTTTTTTGGTGAGCTTTTCTCTTTCGTGCCTAGATTTAGGAATTTCAGCGCAGTACTAGATTGGCAGTTAGGTCTCATTATTTTACAGTTAAATATGCCATTTGTAACCATACATTTTGTGCTACCAGTTTAGTCTCATTTGTGGAACTCTCTTGTGGTTTCTTGCTTTCCAGTCAAATGTGATCTTTAATAATTTAAATTCACTGTCGTTATCTTTTTCCTCCTCTATTCTTTTATTGGTCTGTCTCCTTAATAATATTTTCTTCCAGATCTTTCACACTCCGTAGCGCCTTGTGTTATAGTGTGTTTACCGGCTTGATTGGAGTGAAATGATGAAAACAAAATCTGTGATCCTGACTCATGTCAGATAGTTTCAGTTTTTTTTTTTTAATTTTAATATTTATAGAAATATGTTACTTATATCAGTGGCGACTCTAGGTCATCAATGTTTGTTTGGCTCATTACAATCTTTAACAAAATATACAATTGGTATAACTTAGATGCTAAAATGATTCCTTTACTCTAACTAAAATATATAATTTTTAAAAATCTTTGGGCATGAAACAATAATAAAAAACATTCTGGTATTTTAATATTAATTGTAATAATTCTATAAAAAGAAACATTTATTTTAAACATTTTTCCAGACATGCAAGAAAAAAGAGTAAGAACAAAGTCTTTGATATGCTTGTCTGTTTATTGCCCTACTTTACATATTTTTACTGTTTACAGCCTGGTTATCAAGGCACCGATGGTAGAGATAGTTGTTTTAAGATCAGAAAGTAGAAATGTATATTTCTCTAACTGAGGCTAAGGGTGTGGATAGAAGTGTTTTCCTTTTTTAAAGTCAGGAACATTGTGTGTGGCTCAGTGTGTGTGTGTATGTGTGTCTGTGGGCGCGTACACAAACCTAATTAGAATGTTTATGTAAATATTTCTGTAAATCTTAAATTTTAATTTATTGTACGTTTATGATCAGTACTGCTGATATCATATTTCCTCAACACTACCCCAGTCACGATCCCTACCCCAACCCTACAGTCGAGGAGTTAAGGTTGCCACTTTTTTAGATTTTCGCCAACTTTAAGTCGGGCTAAATTTAATTTTCCCTTTTTTCAATTGATACATTTCGTTAAAATAACTTATACTGTACAGAATAAATTATTTAAAATGGATATTTGAAAAAACAAGTTGAAAAACAAGACATACAAGTCATTAGTAATTTTTAAAAGATTATTTATAAAATTAAACCAAGAAATACATTGCCTATGAAGCATATCTCCAGCTTGATATGGTGCAGATCTACGTGGCCCTGCTAGTCACGTTAATTTTATTTCGTTCTTTTTTTACTTACTTTCTTTCCTTGTTTTTTTCTTTCTTTCTTCTCTGTCATGAACAATATTGATGAAATGTATTTCGGTCAATATTTTTTCAGACACGGAGTTGAAACAATTAATTTTGGAACCAACTAAAGCCAAGAATGAAAAGGATGAACTACGAAAGATTTTTGTTGTTTTGAAGTAGATTTACTTGAATGTTGATACTCGAGCTGCGCCCACCAAGCCCAAGCCTGGAGTCACGACTGACTTATGTCGATATTTACATTATTGGAACCAGATGATTTTTCAAATGGTCCTTATATTATTTTTTTAATCTCTCATGCAGGTTTACAGAGAAACATCATTATTATTATTTGTTGTGACAAAATTTTAATTTTAGCTGCTTGTGAACTATCTTTTATTGTCTATTCTAATAGAATTGTTCTAGACTTGTCAAAAAACTTCGATATGACTCAGGCGATTTATTTATTTTCTAATGACGCGCTGATCATAATGAAAGTTAGTATATTAACTGTGGGCCTAGCAGTGCGAAATCCATATTGTTTGTCGTACTGGCGGTGGTCCTTGATGTAATCAACAACCTTCTTGTTGCTGATAGCATCAAAGTGTTTGCTGGTGACACTAAGGAGGGTAAGGTTAGTTCAATTGTATATGGCACACATCCGTTAGAGGAACTTGAACATCACCCAGACACAAATGAGTGTGACAAATCAGAGACACATCGTGAATACGAATTCCTGGCCAACTTTCTTCGCCTAAGGGGCTTTATTCTTGCGCCACCTCAAGGGAAATACAACAAGTGAAAGTGAAAGTGAAAGTGCGCGTACAGAGGCCAAAAGTAGTTTAGCTTCTCGGGCATTTATCTTCTGAGGACACCTAGATGAGATATGGACTGTCCAGAAAAAAAGTTCTTCGAGGTTTAGTTTATGCCTCAAAGGTCAAAGGTCGTGAAGTGTGGACTATCTTCCTTGCATTCATTAACCGAAGAAACAGTTCTAATCAGTCTACGCATTTCTTCATTTTTAACTATTAAGCTGGGATCAAAGCGTAGTATCTGTTTCCCTCATTTCTAATGACAATGTTAATATTCTCCGTGTTCCTACAAAGAAACACACAACATTCACTGGCCGAGCAGTCAGTTCTACTCGATTTACGCATTTCTTTCAACCCAGGTCATTGTGCGGGGATCAAAGTGTAGTATATGTTTTTCTAACCTTTCATGATATTAGGCGTTTCCTTCTATAGAAAAATTCCACGTTCATTGTTTGAGCAGCTAATGATATTCGAGTTAGGTTTTTCTTCATTCCTGACCATTAGACTATTAACAAAGTTTAGTATCTGGTCTCATTTCTAATGGTAAATTTTAATATTAGCCGTTTTTTTGGCAAAGAAACATTTGCCATTCATTGACTGAGTAGACAGTGATACGTTTTGTTGAAATTTACAGCTTTTTCTTAAAACAATTTCGAAAAATATGTTTATCAAGTCTTGAATGGATGGGGCTGGGAAAAGCTTACTTCCTAAGTTTTTTTTTCGAAGTAGTGTTAGCTGTCAAAATCTTGATCGTCTTCGAGTGTTATCTGCTGCATTTGAAAGTCGTTCAAGCCATGTGCCTTCTGGTATTACGATTCTGTAGCGCCAGAAGAAGTTCAGTGTTCTTTCGCACTAATAATTAGAAAACAACGAGAAAATAATCAGATAATCATATTGAACGTCTACACTACTTCGAGCTAAAAAGCGTAGCAAGAACCCCCCCCCCGCAGCCATTAATACTTAAAAGAGTGATAACAGCGAACTTGAGAAACCTATTTTCCTGAAAAACTGTCTTAAGAGAAAGATTTTATAAATTGTGTATCTAGGCAGCAAATTCTCTTTTAGGCATGTCTGATTAAATGAATTGCAATATTTATGTCTACTTATTTTTAGCAAAATCCGTTCATATTCACGGATATTTTTCCGTGTATTACAATCAAGTGATGCAAGAAACGCACTGTAACAGTGAAAATCACTTTTATTTAACCGAACATGCTTAAGTAACTCGGACTGATCAATCAATGAATACCGAATATTTTATTATAGGGAAACGGTTAACATTACTATTAGCATTTCTAAATAAACAGAAGTGAAGTGATCTTGTGTATTTGTGAAGACGCTTCTGAATAATGGAATCTTTTCTAGATTTAGGATTGATTTTTTTTCTTAAGGCAATGGTTCCTGATCG